TTATTTTCTGTATGTCTGTATATTATTTTTACAATTTCAATTCTTTACAAGCCACGTTACAGGCTGCTGTTTGTCTGCCACAGTTAATTCTGATTAATGTTATTTTTATCTCAATTTTATACTTTTATTTTTTCTAATTTTCTAAATTTTTCTTTTGCGGTGAACATAGCCGAGTCCTCAAACACAAGAAGGAACAGAAAAAACATGTACTCGATCCCCAGAGTTCTTGAGTTTTAAACGATCCAGGGCAGGTCAGTAATGTTTTACATCCTGCTTCTCTAGTTATACTGAAACATTAACCCTTAAATTAGATCTATATGAAGCAGTTTTGATCAATATGTTTTTCCTTATTGAATGTTGGATGTTACATGTAGTTGGGCCTACATCCAAAAGGTTAGCCTGTATGTTTGTTGTTCTTGTGAGATGATACATATTAGAAAATCCCTTAATATTCTATCATAAGATTAAGAAGTAAATCTTTCTAAAATCTCCACTGATATATAGATTTGATTTGATTTGCTGTAATAAATTCTCTATTTTTCTCTTCTTGTAAAAGCTACATATTCCTGTGTATGTGCTCATTCTCAATATGCAAGAAATTCAATCTCTCTCTAAGTTCTATATGGTTAGGCTCTTCTTGATTTCTCTCGACCTTCATAATCGTTTATACTCTTGTGACTCTATTAAGGAAAAAATTAATAGAGTTCACAGCCTCGTTTCCCTGAAGTTGCTCCAGCTTCGTCCTAGTGTGCAGGCTCTCCTTGCTTGTCCTTGTGCGCACGAAAGCCTGTCCTGACACATAATTTCCTGTATCTGCAGCTTTTTTCTTCATTTTTTTTTCCAGTGGCCTTTATCACTGCACAGCTGAACCCATGCTATGTTGTTGGCTCCTCATTAAACTTGACTTCTCTGTTTGCAGCCTCAATTGGTAGGATCCTTACTGTTGGATCCTTATAAAAGTAGGCTTGACATCATTCTGGAGAAGAATATGTCAGAAACATCAAAGATGATAATATCTTTTAAGACCATTTGCCAGATCAAGAAAGTTCCCTTCAATTGACCTGTAGGAGAGCTCTAAAACATTTATATAGCAAATAGATTGAATGAGAAGAATTATCTCAAGTGGTTCCATTTTATTTAAACACATTTGAAAGGAAAAGGGAAACTC